CTGTCTACCTCCCCCCACCTCTTCGTCTCTCCTCCCCCATTCATCTGTGTATGTGTGTACGGGGCTGAGCATCTTCTATGTATGGCTCAGACCCCACCATCTCACGATTGTGTGTGTGTGGAGTGATGCTATGTGAGTCAGTCTATGTGAGTCAGTCCGTTTATCAGACTTCCGTTGCATCTATACTCATCCTACATTGGTTGATTCTTGGTTCTGCCCATACTCATTGGAGTATGCAACAGTGGGTCAGGGTGAAGGTTTTTTACGGGTGACGGGGGGGTTGGGTGCGGGCGGAAATTTTCAAAAAAACACTCGGGTGGGTTGGGTCGCCTTGAGATTTTTTGTTTTTAATTTTTTGAGGGCGGGCGGTGCTTAAAAAATTATGGGCGGGTTGGGTGAAGTGTCAATTCCAAAAAGAAATGCTCATCTCTGGTGGTGACCCACCTTGAAAGACTCGGTGAGTCCGCGTTCCGCCCACTGGTTTCTTCAGCTGCCTGCCGCTGCCTCGAACTGGCGTCTGCACTGGAGATGAGACGGCGACGACCATGGCGACGAAGGGTGACTAACGGCAGCCGTGAATGACGTTGGGCAGAGCCACGAGAACACATTACCAGGGTACCTCTGGACTGCCTCGTCGGAGGTCTGAGTAGTTCAAAAACAAACTACTCAGTTTTCCCCCCAGATTTTGTTAGGGCCTCAGCGCGCCCCAAAATTTTGTTTTTGGCTGTACCAGAAACATTTTATGGTGCTCCCTCTCCCCCCCCCCCCCCCCCCCCCCCCCCCCCCCAATCCCTGCAACCCCCCCGTGAAACCTTTTTTTTTTTTTTTTTTTTGGAACCCTGGATATTTTGGTGCGCTGCACACGGTAGGGGGGTGATCCTAGCTGCAATCTCTCTCTCTTTTCTCCTCTGTTTCTTCCTCGGTGCAGAGTTTGTAACTTGGTATGCTTTCACAGCAGACGATCTGCGTGGACCTCATGCTCATGCTCATGCTGATGCTGTCAATGCGGATGTCGCATAAGAGTTGAGTTGCCCATAGCTGGAACTAGTAATGTTGGAATGACCCGTGCAGTTTTGTGTCCGAGCAAGCTGCACTTTTCTCAATTTTCTGAGCAAAAAAATAAAATAATTTTTTTTTGGTGTTCCGTGTTCACTGAGAAGAGGAAAAGCAGAACATGGATGAGTGGTGAAAAAACTTCAAAAAAGGGAAAAAAAAAGGTAGGAACAATAAAATTGAATAAATTCAATAATTTAATTATTTTAATATGATGAAAGTGGTACATCTCTAGTCAGATCTAGGCAGATGGTATGAAAACTGACGCTCTTTTGTTTTGTTTTTTTTTGTTTTTTTTCTGTAATTCAGAATGGTAGTATGCTACTACTAATCTGCTTCCAGTAGAGTTCGAACTCGAGTCTGTTTGTCAATGGCTCAGCCGCTCAGGTGTGTCCTGACTGAGCTACTCAGTTGTCGGTTATTGAAAATGGAAACGGACTCTTTAACTCTTGCTTGAGGGGAATAGTTTTTCAAAAAAAAAAAAACGCTGATGCTTGCTTGGCTGTTGGCAGGTCATTGACTATTACCTGAAGAAGAAAGTTGTGTCGACGATTCATGCAGAGAAGGTGCAAGGAGAGGTTACGGCGGAGATCAAGAAGTCCTTGCGATCGTGAGGGGGTGGAAGGTCCGGTCCTTAGACTGGTCCTGAAACAAGGCCAGATTATTTCCCTTGTCTGGGAAGGGTCAGGACTACCCTGTGGATGTTGGTGGGGTATTGGATGACGCATCGATCCGGATTCGAGATGCGGTTGGCTGGAAAAAAAAAAAGGTGATTTTTAAACATTTTTTACCAAAAAAAAAAGTGAAGGACAGGGATATGCCGGGCGGAAAACCAGGCATCGTAATTTTGCTACGGTTCCGATCAGTCGGCTGCTGAAATTTCGACGGTCCAGATTGATGACTAGAGCTCAGGTAAGAAGAGGGGCGAGAGCTGCGGGGACGATGACGACAGTCAACGACAAGAAGGCAACTGCGGGGACGATGACGACAGTCAACGACAAGAAGAGGGGCGAGAGCTGCGGGGACGATGATGACAGTCAACGACAAGAAGGTAACTGCACAGCTTGTCCAATAAGAAAAGTGAGTGTTTTTTTTTTTTTTTTTTTTTTTTTTTCAGTTTCTCCGAACGAGGATCGAGGGGGAGCAACAACCCCAAAATTTTACACCCGAAAGTTTTGCGTCGGTCACGAGTTGGGTTGAATGAACTTGAATCTCTCCTGTAGATCAGCCAAGGCGGGGACTCGGTTCCGGGTTGCGGGTTTCGGGTTGCGGATCCGTTAAATATGTCTGCCAATGGGGTCAGGAGTCCCAATGACAGACTTCTGTTGTGTGTCGGGGGAGGAGGAATGCTGTTTGTGGGTGATGTTTGTTCTGCGGACTTGAGCCCTTTACCTCGGGTTTGAGAGGAGAGAGGGTTGGAGTGTCGGCGCCCCCTTTTTTTTTTTAATCTTTCCTTTCTCTTTTCCTCCTGCCTTCCCTTCGATAGGATCGCTTCCACATCTGCTTGCGAAAAGGGGGGCTGATGGAAGATGAGCTTGTGTTTCCCGGCTGGGGTCTTTTAATTATGAGGAGTTTTGCCGCAAGTGCGATTCATGTAGATCACATGAAGATAGCACACATGATTAGATTACCACACAGTGAGATTAGGAGTTATGGGTCCAGCCCTTATCAGCCTAGTTATGGGCCTAGGTGTTATGGACCTAGGAATCACCTAGGCCCTTATCAGCCTAGGTGTTACATCCCCCAGGAGTACTTAAAAAAAAAAAAAAACTTTTAAAAAGGGAAAAAAAAGAAAGATTAGGAGTTGGGCACTGTGATAAGGATGCTACTTTAAAAAGGAAGTTGTGTTATCTCTTTTACTGGAGGGGGCCTATTGCTGTATGCATCCTGATTTGTGGACTTTTTCCAAATTTGAGAGATTGAATTTCGTAAAAGGGGCTCTTATCACTTCCCAGAGTAGGCGACAATCGGTTCTTGCAAAAAACAAAACTGCGCTGCTTGCTGCTGAGATGCACAGTCAAACATTGAGGTGGATCATCTCTTCTTCCCCCTTCCCTTCGAGAGAGTTGGAATCACCTCTTCTTGTCGGTGACTCCTTGCTCCTCTGTCCCCTCTCTCCTTTGTCTGTTATCACTGTGGATCTCTATTCAGATAAGCCACAAATACTTGCGTGGTCATTGTCCCACCCTACCCATCATCTCTCTCTCTCTCTCTCTCTCTCTCTCTCTCTCTCTCTCTCTCTCTCTCTCTTCTCTCTCTCTCTCCCACTTCC